TTTTTAATGGCTGCACGATATTTCATAGAATTGCTATAGCACATTTGACTTAACTAATCCACTAATGTTGGACCTTAAGTTACTCTCATTTTCTCACTATCTTAACTAACACTGCAATGAATAGCTTTGTATGAATATATTTGCCCCATTATTGATTTTTTTTTTTTTTTGGTGAGGAAGATTGGCACTGAGCTAACATCTGTTGCCAATCTTCCTCTTTTTGCTTGAGGAAGATTGTCCCTGAGCTAACACCTGTGCCAATCTTCCTCCATTTTGTACGTGGGAGGCCGCCACAGCATGGCTTGATGAGCTGTGTGTAGGTCCATGCCCAGGATCAGAACCTGCAATCTCCAGGCTGTCAAAGCAGAGCACGAGAACTTAACCACTACACCACTGGGCTGGCCCCACCCTGTTACTGATTTTTGTTCCTCCGAATAAATACCAGGAAATAGAATTTATTGGTCAAAAGATACACATATTTTTGTCCACTTGTGCTATTGATCTGATCCCATTCTTCCATCTCCTCTAGGTCTCTCGTGTACTTCAACCCGTCTCCCCTCTTTGGCTCCTTCTTCTCCAACTATAAACATTCCCAAGTCTCTTTCATTCTAAAAAATAAAAATCCTCCCTTGACCTAAATTTCTCTTTAATTTACTGCCTTTTCTTCTCTTCTTATCCAAACTTCTCAAAAAACTTGTCCACATTTGCTATCTCCATGTCACTTCCTATTCATTCTTTAACATCATATACTGGTCTGCATACTAAGTGTCATATTGTTCCACTGAGACTATTCTTGCAAAGGTTACCATTGATTTCCTAATTGCTGGACAGGTTTCTATCCTATTTTATTGGACTGCTGACACATTTGACCCTTCCTTATTGAAATTCTCTTTTCTCTTTGCTTCTCTTTTTTGTTTCTTCTATCTCTCTGATCATTTCTTCTCAGCATTGTTTATGAGCCTATCTTCCTGAGTCTACCCCTAAATTTCAGTCTTCTATAAAATTTCATCCTTAGCTCTCTTCTCTTCATTTTCTATCTGTTCTCTCAAGGAACAGTGTTAACTACCACATATTTGTCGATGACGTACACTCTTAATCTCCAGCTCTCATTATTTCTAAGTGCTGGAATGATAAATTCAGTTTTTTGCAGGATTCACAGGATGTGCTTGTACCACAAGTACTTCAAATCTAATCTGTCTCCCTCCAAAAAAACCTTGCTCTTCTTGCTATATTATCAATTATTTTGCCCTAGTTGATGGTTCTAGCATCTGCCCAGTCAACCAAATTAGAAAGCCAACAGTAATCATTAACTCTTCCCTCAATCACTAAATCTTGCCAATTTTACCTCCTAAATCTCTCTAAAACCATCCCTCTTTTCTCTGTTCTTAGCACATCATATCCTCTAGTATTGCCTTCCACAAATGGATCTTCCCAGATGCTACCTGAATTATCCATCTAATTAGTTACGTTTTTGAAAAAAGTATCTATCTTTTGGAGACATGCTGAAACATTTACAGACAAAATAATATGCCATCTAAGATTTGCTTCAGAAATTGTGTGTGGAGGAGGGAGGAGGTGAAATACAGGCGAAACAAAATTGGCCATGATAATTGTTTGATAATTGTTGATGCTGGATGACTGGGAGATGGAAAGGGGTTCATCATACTCTTGTACCTTTGAATTGCTAAAAGCAACGACTAACCCATTTAAAATGCAAATCCTTTAATGTCCAACACACACACACACACACACACACATATCCCTAAAAAGATACAGTTTATGCTCTCAAGGATGAAAAACAAGGCCCTTCTTGACAAATACTAGATCACATCTTGTACTTTAACAAGCCCCCTATAGTTTCCAGAAAACCACTGTGTCACACCTTCATACATCTGCATATATTGTTCCTTTTGCCTTGAACACCCTTGTCTTCCCCCAACTGCTTCACTCTTACTCATTCTTGGCTAGGCATAACCTCTTTCAGAAAACCTTCTCTTGACCCTGGCCCCCAAGGGCAGGGTGCAGAGTTAAGATGTCTCATCTCTGGGGCCGGCTGGGTGGCGCAAGCGGTTAAGTGCACGCGCTCCACTGCGGCGGCCCAGGGTTCACCGGTTCGGATCCCGGGCACGCACAGATGCACTGCTTGTCAAGCCATGCTGTGGCAGCATCCCATATAAAGCGGAGGAAGATGGGCAAGGATGTTAGCCCAGGGCCAGTCTTCCTCAGCAAAAAGAGGAGGATTGGCAGATGTTAGCTCAGGGCTGATCTCCTCACAAAAAAAAAAAAAAAAAAGATGTCTCATCTCTGTGTTCTCACAGTACCCTGTGCATATTTCTATTATAGCACTCATTGTATTGAAATCGTTTCCTAGAGCAAGATCATATCTTATTCAACTGTGGGTCTCCATGTACAGTGAGTGAATGAATAAACGAATTAATAGGAGTATCAGGTAGAAACAGACGGAGAAAAAGAAATCATGCAAAGCAGTTTACATTTATTACAGACAATTTCATCTTTACAACTATCCAGTGAAATAGACACTATGATCTTCCTTTTACAGATACAAAAATTGTGGCTCAGAGATGTTATTAAAGAGTCAATCTAAATGATTTCATATATTAACATCTACTTTCCAATAAATTGGTACCTTCTCCACTTCTAAATAAGATAACATAATCCCTTACTCCTTAGGAATAGTCTTAACATCATTGTCTCAATATAGAGAGAACACATACAGACCAAAATAGGTTTAAAAAGATGGCTCTTTAAAAAGCTAATGTTATCTGTGGTTACTCTACCTTAGAGGTTATACTTTAGCGATAGAAAGTATGGAGAAGAAAGACTAGCCACAACCTCTCAGCTATACCAATAGTCTTTATCTATAGCTCTCAGATGGAGGACCATCTGAATAGAGAGAATATGCAGAAGAGCTTGCAGAGTGAAACCCACTTGGTTCCCAAGAGGTCTCTCCCGGAGAGGGGGGAAAAAAGGATTTTTACCCTAAGATTCTCTAAAATGCAATGTAGCCTATAAGGGAAACAGCACTTCCTTCCAAACCTTTCCACTTACACATAATAAAGTATGTGGCTTAGCAAATACTTGACAATGAAAAAGCATAAAGCTGAAAACCCAAATCAATACTTTGGTTAAATTTCTACCTATTTTTACTCAGAACACAGGAGTCTGCATTGAGGTAGAGGTCAAATATAGTACAATCACTTGTATATGCCTTTTATTGACACTTTTTTAAAAGAGAAATCCTTTTAAAAGCATTTCATTGGAATTCCCTGGGTTTGGGAATCCCCCTAAGTCAACATTTTCCTACTTAAAAGTCTGTGCTATTCAACGTTTTACGCTTGAGGATGATGTTTTCTTAATGCTAAAAACTCACCTGCATTGGCTTTAAGGTCTTCAGGTGTGACCATGACAACAAATCGGATTGCACGTTCATTTCGAAACATCTCATAAGACCACCGACGGATAGACCGCATGCATTTTACTGCTGCAATGCCGTTGTTGGCAATAAGAACCTGGGAGAGTGGGAGAATGGGAATTGGAGAGAAAGATAGAAAAGGCAGGCAATGATGGAGGAAAAGAGATGAGACAATTTTTGTAGATCTTTCTCTAAAAAGCCTGATTTTCAACTAGGAATTTGTATTGCTGGTCTAGGCAGTTAGGAACCAGCTTCCACAGGATCAAAGGATATTTTAAAATGTTAGCTAAGCAAATATTTTAATACATGGCAGCTAAAAGTTACTCCTTTCTAACTTCATTTCTAGAAGGGAAAAATCACAATAACTTAAATCTTGTGAGTTTGTGAACTACTCTACCACACCTATTTCTAGAGAACAGAAGACGACAAACCTCAGAGGGATGATGTATTACCAAATAAGGAAGGGGGAAGACTAAACAGTGTAGTGTCATGCACTATTCTCTGTTCTAATAAAACAAGGCACAGAGCCTTGAACATGTTATAAGAACACTGGCACAAACCACCACCTTTCTCCAAAATGCTGAACCCCAAATGCCTCAGAATTGTAGAGACTGCCTCAGAAAGAATGGTCACAAGCAAAAGAATAGAAGAATCAGTGATACCGAGACTTCTCTGTAACTAAACCTTTCATCTCCTTACCTGTCCTGCAACCATGACCCTGAGGATAACATAGGCTAGGAGACACATAATCTGTCTTTATTGAAAGACTAACAGAAGGACACCACTGAAGCAATACTTTTAGAAGTGGGACTATAGGTCCCCATGATTTAATCTTTTAATCACTGCAAGTTATTTCAACCAAGTCATCCTCTCAGCTCTGACATGGTTTAGATAAAAGTGACACAGAATTATTCAAAACATTTCAAAATACTTGTAATCTCCTTAAGTATTTCGCGTGGTATATTTCCTCTAAACATCTCAAATACCTGGTGGAAGCCAGTAAATCACAGCGTACCAGACTGTTTAAGTCTTCTGTTCTGAAACTCTCTCTACTTCCTTAGTTCTCAGTCCAATGCTATGACATATTATCTCCTCACCACCACCCCACAAGCGAATCCATTTTTCATACCCTCTCAGATGAGTGCAGCCCAACTCTGTAAAACCAACCACAAGATCTTTTAAAAAGAACTTTATGAGCACTGCTTCATCTTCTCAATTAGCTATGAATTAGTAGTAAATACACATTATAGAAAATAGTGAAATTATTTAATAGGATGCTAGGGGAGCAGAAAGGATAATTCTGCATAAAGAGGCAAAGTCTCTGAAGATCTAAATATCAGTTTTGAGCCAATCTAGACAACAAATCCAGGCATTAAATCTCAAGTACTTTTGAAAAGATAATTTAGCAAGTTATAACTTACCTTCTCAATCACTTTATTCCCCCCAAAACGAGTAACAAATTCTGCTGGAGAAGCTACAGTGAAATCTCGCTGTGAGTCTATTTTCTTTCGGTCTCGACCTTGCTTTACTAGGTGCAAGCCAGACATGCTGGACCTATAAAAATAGAGAAACCATGAAAGTCTATAGATAGGATTTCTGCACACAATCTATCTCCCCTGGAGACCTGCTTTTCACTACCATACTTATAACAGCACTTCCAACTGCACCCTTATGAAGACTGCATGCTGGCAAACCACATATTTTTATAGAAGAGAGGGAAAAAAAGACCTCTGCTTGTGGAAATTCAAGAAAAAAATAAGTGTCCCTGAATAATAAAAGATAATATTAAGGTTTACCAACAGATGCCATCACAAAGAGAGAGGCAAAGGACAGAATGAAATGAGATTGTATAAATAATAGACTCAGAGAAACTCTTAAAACTAAAAAAACAAGGTTGTTTCCGGATCATGTTTCTGGCATACAGATAACCTCCACCTCTGTATCTCTAGCCTCCATCAATCTTATGAACTGTAACTCACATTTTTAACTGCATACGAAATGTTTTATTTGTGTATCCCATAGGCATTTCAAAATCAACAACTCCAAAACCAGATTCTTTACAAGGCAGCATAATATGCCGTATTTCATGGATTTTAAGACGTCCCTCTTTTTTTTTTTAACTTTTTAAAATATCTGAAATTGGTATGTATCTCACAACTGACAGTGTGCTTTATTTAATTGGCAGTATCTTTTTTTCTCAGTGGTACATACAATAACGGTGCCTCTGGCAACCAACAGTGTTTCAGATTAGATGAAATATAGTAGTGGAAATAACATAGGCCTGGGTTTAAATTCCAGATCTGTAGACTTAATAGCTCCAATGAACTTTAGCAAATAATTTAACCTTGCTCAGCTTCAGCTTTCTCTTCGTAAAATAATTCACAGTATTCACTGTTCTAGTTATTTACCTATTGTTTCTCAGCTCCAAGCCCACCCTTTTACGCTCTGCTCTGTGACAAGAGGGCTAAGACCCTGCAAACTTGTTTAGTTCTGCCAATGGGAAGGCAGGAGGATAAGAAAAGAAACTTCCTTCTTGTTTTCCAGCTTTTATCAGCATTGCTCCACAGTAACAGAAAGTTAATTCCAGCCTCCAACATCTTTCAACATTCCCAGGAATAGCCTTGATACATTCGCTTAGAGGTACCAGGACCAGCGGGTTGTGGATTCTCAGGAGTCAGAGTACCAGACCTGCCATGCTCACTCATTCTCTGGGGTACGCTGCTGGGCCTATCAATCCCCTGTCAGGCCAGGCTTCCTCCTCAGGGATCTGAGCACCAGCTACTCAAAATTTACTCCCAGGGCCGGCCCCGTGGCTTAGCGGTTAAGTGCGTGCGCTCCGATGCAGGCGGCCCGGGTTCGGATCCCGGGCGCGCACAGACGCACTGCTTCTCCGGCCATGCTGAGGCCGCGTCCCACATACAGCAACTAGAAGAATGTGCAACTATGACATACAACTATCGCCTGGGGCTTTAGG